TTCAGATTGGTCTTGAACTCACTTTGTAGCTGAGGCTGGCCTTGAATTCACAGTGATCCTCCTGCCTCAGCTTCCTGAGTACTGGGATTACAGGCATGAATCAGCTCAGAATGTTCTTTTTAAAAGTTTGGGGAAGGGCTGGGGATTTAGCTCAGCGGCAAAGCGCCTGCCTGGCAAGTGCAAGGTCGTGAGTTCAGTTCCCGGTACCGGAGAAAAACCAAAAAAAAAAAAAAAAAAAAAAAAAAAGTTTGGGGAGCAGATTTTCTTGGAAACAATACTTTTTCTAAAGAAGGATAAACTTTCATATATATCATATACCAAAAGCACGAGTAAAGGAAGCCTTATTGTGTGTGAACAGAAACCATACAGTAATCACCTTCAAACTGGGACAGCAAGAATGTAGCACTATCTTTGTTTTCTCACATGTATTTTATGTTTTGTTTTGGTTTGGTTTGGTTTTTGGTTTTTTTTTCCGGTACCGGGAACCGAACTCACGACCTTGCGCTTGCTAGGCAAGCGCTTTGCTGCTGAGCTAAATCCCCAGCCCCTCTCACATGTATTTTATTAAACTCATCAACCAAATTCTCACTTTTGTACTAGATAAAAGGATGGACATTTCCCCACATCGATATCCTGTGTGTTCCCTGCCCACCACTCCTTTTTTTTTTTTTTTCACCACTCCTTAGAATTTATCAGCTTCATGAAATCTAAGAGATGAAGAGACCCTATCGCCTTAGTCATCCTAGCTATTAACCACCCCCATCGTTCCCAGGCTAGGGACATCACCCAGACTGAGTTATTAAAGTTGACCTGAAAGAGCAATCTGTTCTAAACGACCGTCCCTGGATCTGCAACGGAACCCTGTAAATACCTTTCATTACTCTGGCGGGGCGGGGATCACATTTCCTTCTTGCTACTTTTGTGGCTGACACAAGTTAGTCAGTGAGACTTGGACTTTAGATGATCCTGTTGATTGAGATAGGAATGGTGCCTCTCCAGAGACAGGTAATTAGAATTTTACTTTTCAGGATCATGTTTTGACACTGGTGTTCTGTTTAGGTTTTTTATGCTTTTAGTTTTAAAAACTAAGTGGGTTTTGAACTTAGAATTTTTAAATGTCTTTAGTTTTCCCAGGCAGGCATTTTTAAGACTGTTTAGATGAAAAGGAGATTTCCTAAGGCTGTCATTGTATTTCTCCATTATATCATAGGGTTTGTATAAAACTCTCAATGATCTTATCTGTTGCTGTGGATGAGCCAGGAATTATCTCTGCTGTGAAAGTTTTTCTCTTACAAAAGGTTAGACAATACAGATGTCTTAGTCTTCAAAGTAAGACCCAGAGATTTGATTTTGTTTTTCCCTCTGACACTGGAGGAGGATACCTGAAAATAAATCTACGTCCCGGAACTTCAAGCAAAACTTACTGAAACTTTGGTATATCTGAGCAGTTTCTTTTGGAGAGGTGAAGCCCATGACAATATGGAAAAAATAGCAAGTACAAAAATTTTATGCAAATCTATCAGCACGGAAATTTTCTCGTGTTTATCTTGCAAGTGAAGACTTCCTCTGTTAAAGATTTTCGAGATTCCTTGGCATTGCTGTGGACCATCCCAGCGTGAGTAGACTGTTTCCATAGCTGAGTGGCTGAATAAGAGAACAGCTGAGGGCAAGCACGGGGTCAAGTTCAAACCACAGTAAATGTATGTGTTAGATGGGTTGCTCGGCTTTATGGGGAAGGCTTTAGACACGTAACTTCCCACTTGCTCTTCACTAATGAAGCTTGTCTTTAACTGTGTTGGGCATTTAAAAATTTTAAATGTTATTCTTGGTACCAATCAACTCTAGGACAATCTGAATGAGTAGGTTTGTGATATATTTATAGCATTATTATAATAATAAAGGTAGGGGTGGCTTATATGGGAGCAGAGACTGCTTTTAAAAACTAAAATCTAGAGCGTGAGTTGGATGTATTGTAAGCAAGGTGGCCCATAATTTCTGAAAAATGTTTATTTTAAATATTTGCACTTAGCTTTTTTGTGATGATATCAAAAAGGTTGTTTCTATCTGTGTTTGCAAGTGCTACAGTAAAAATGAACAGAAGTCTGAGTTTCTTGGCTTCTTTTTTCTATAACTCTTCTTTCACATTTTAAGCCTATTTTAATACTTAACATTAAAGTATAAGTAATCTGACTGCCTAACCTTTTTTTATTTCATTTATTTATTTTTATCATTAGTATATGTTTGCAAAGTATAATAATTATGTTCATCTTGGGGATATGTACATAAGCATATTGCATCTTGATCTTTTTTTTTTTGAGGCAGGGTTTCACTATGCAGTTCAGGCTGGCCTTGAACTTCTATGTAGCCCAGGCTGGCCTTGAACTCTCAGCAATCCTCCTGCCTCAGCCTCTTGAGTGCTGGGATTACAGGCGTGCATCCTGATCTTTTTTACTTATCTCTCCTCTTCCACTCTCCCATCTCTCCATCCCCACATCCCTTTCTCCCCTTCTCATTACCATGCAGTCTACCTCCCTGTTTCTTATCATCTGTCTTTTGTTTTGCTCTTTATTTATATCACAGGTTTCTCATATAAGAGAAACCAAGTGATATTTAACTTCTGTGCCTGATTTATGTTACTTAGCATAATGGTCTCAAGGTACATCCATTTTCTTACAAATGACTCAAATTTATCCTTCTTGTTCCACCTGTTTTAGTATGGTCTCCTTTAACCTTAATGTTTTACAACTGAATAAAAGGCAGGCTACCAGAGTTATCATGGCAATGGGCAGGGAAGTAAAAATGTGTTATTTTATGGTGTGCATAAGTGCTTCCCTTTTAAAAAATCAATTTGTAGCACACCGATTAACTACCCGAAAGAGAAGTTCTATTTTTCCATGTTCCCAAGGATCTTGCAGCACTGATATGAACTGTGGCTTAGATTTGAGTGGAATAGTGAAGGAAAATTATTTATTTATTTATGCTAAGGGTTGGGCTCAGGGTCTTGCACAAGCCAGGCAAGTGCTATTACTCTGGGCTTCCCCCAGCACAAGAGCTTCTTTTTAAATTAAAAAAAAAAATTGCCAGAGAAACCACATAAATAGAAAATATAGAAACAAAAGTAAGTAGCTGGACATTCATATCAGCACAGGATTACGTAGGAAAGCAGCTGAATCTGTATGTTGAAAATATGAATTACTTTGGTAATGAGACTAACCTATTCCTTTAATTCAGCTCCTCCTCATGTATTTTTCCTTCCTTCATAATTGTTTCTGCTTTGCTGTTTTGATCCTCCTGCCCCAGCCTCTCTTCTGCTGGGTTACAGGTGTACACCACCATACCCCGCTAGTCCCAGTTTTTCTACCTATTTAAAAGTTTTACTCAGTTCTCTTCTTGTGTTGTTTTCTTTTGCCTGTGTAAGTGTAAAACCTTATAACCAGTGATTGCAATAAAAATATTTTATCTCTATTCAGTGTATTATGGATAGATTGAAGATGATTGAACATAAAAATGGCATAGTAAATTCTATGAAATTGGGAAATTCTGTGTATTTTTTGCACTGCTTTATATCAAGCACAGTGAGCATTAAGTAAGTATTTGTTTGAGTTAATGAATAAGAAGGAACTCTATAAGGAATTGTGTGATTTAATTATAAAGTTAGATTAAATCCAATGCATGTCATGTTACAAAGATCTAAATAATTCTTATTTATTTTTGTCTTTTGGAGACAGGATTTCACTGTGAAGTTTAGACTGGCCTTGAACTCACTTTGTAGGCTGAGCTGGTCTCACACTCACAGCAAGCCTCCTGCCTCAGCCACTCAAGTGCCGGGGTTATAGGCGTGTGTCACCTAAATAATTCTTTTAAAGAATAATCACTGGAAGTCTGGGAATGTAGCTCAGTGGTAGAGTGCTTGCTTAGCATGTACAAGGCCCTGGGTTTAATCTCCAATATTGTAAAATAATAATAATAGCAACAATAATCACTGGCTTTTAAGTCTGAATTTTCAAAACCCAAGCTTCAAACAAGATTGGTCATATTATATCACTTAGTCTGTATTAATCAGTGGGGCTTTTTTTTTCAAATTCATATTCCAAAAATGTATGAAATTAATATTAGAGAAACTGTATCTTTACAAAGTATTTGAGCAGATGTTGGTCTATTAAGCATTTTTTTCTTACTGATTTTTAGTGCGTGTAAAAGAAAACAGCTAGCATTGACTTTTTCAAAATACTGTACAAAAAGTTATATCCAGGCAGCAACACATTAGTAAGAGCTGTGACATTCTGTGTGATATAGTCCTTTTGTTTTAAAATCAATATCCAATTTGTTTCTTTTGAAGAAATCCATTCAGACAAATTTTGTTCCTGAATTTATCCTCATGCCAATGATTTTTTCCTATCCTTTTTCTCTATGATTTTTAATTAGCTATTAACATTAATTATCTTCTCTACTTTTACTCTGCCTTTGGATGAACACTTCTAAAAAAACCCTTGGCTTTAAAAACATTAGCCAGGTATGGTGGTGCACTCCAGTAATCCCAGCACTCAGGAGACTGAGGCAGGAGGATCGCTGCGAGTTTGAGGCCAGCCTGGGTTACATAGCAAGACCTTGTCTCAAAAAAATCCAAAACCAAAAATAAGTAAATAAATAAATAAATAAATAAAAAGTTAGACCTCAGACTCATACTGGCTTTTCATGGGCACATCTCAGTAATTAAACGAGAATAAATTTCCCATTGATCGAAATTAAGGATCTTAAATAATTAATAATTTGAAACATTTTTAAAGCATGCCATTTTCCTTGGCAGATGGAATGTAATGTGATATGTTTAGTATTAATGCCAAACGTCTATCAATAACACCTTGGGCCTCCAGCTACAAGTGAAATTCTATAGATAGGAAAACGACTGACCCCCACTCCGCATAGGTGCTGTCCTGCTATGGAATCTCTTTGCTCAGTTTTCTCCGTCCAATCAGGTGGAATGTTTCACAGGCACATGGTTTATACAGCTCAAAATAACTTGGGACCTGTGCGCTGACAAATGCTCTGGCTCCGGTGGTGACAGGTTGTCCAGCTTCTTACAGCCATCTTCACTAAAACTAAGGTTAACGGCTCACTCTCTATGGACGGCCGCTCTCTGCATCCAGGGGCGTGAAGAATTTCCCTTCTCTCCTGTGCTTTCATCTGAAAGTTCTCCTTGGATAATTATCATCGCAGTGGAGTGCCTGGCTTGGACATCTTCATCTGGGTCAACTAAAAAAAGAAAGGTAATTTCCAGATTTAAGTTCACAAGTGTGTTTGGATAACAGGCCACTGACAATGGGAAAAGAGTCTCTCAGAGAGCTAATTACTATAACTCAGAGTGAAACCTAGGGTAACTTTCTAATTACGGGTGATGGGACTCACAATTACATGAAAACTGAAGCTTTTCACATGGAAAGCATTTGGGGGATTGATGGGATTCACAGAAACCATAGCCTAAGGAAGTTGTGACGTGTTGCAGATATCACTGGCATTTCTCACACGCTCATTTATAAAATAATGTTTTTATAGAGAGAATATGTATGCAATGCCTATTTCCTTTTCAAAGGAAATCCAATCTAAAATAATGTGACTCCATAGTTAAAGACTTTCATTTAAAATTTTTTTATCATGTAAAAGGATATGCCTGCTATATTTAGTATTGGGAGATCTGCTCCCTGGATTAATGTACACAACAGCTGCAGAAAGTCTTGCTCAAGGGACACTGCTCTTTCTTTCTCCTTTCTCTCTCTCTCTCTCTCTCTGATTCTCTCTCTCTCTCTTTCTCTCTCTCTCTCTCTCTCTCTCTCTCTCTCTCTCTCTTCAGCTGCATCAGGACACTTGACAGTCAGCAGCAAATGTTTGGCCTGGTGCATTGCACTACTAGCAGTAATTAGATGCACATCTTGAATAATATTTTTAAAAGCTGTGTAAGTGAAGAAGAAGGCAGATTATTCTATATTTCCAGTCCCCAAACCTGAACATTGTAACAATGGTGTTAAGAAATTTGTATCAACTTATCAACAGATTTTTATATAGTTATCAAAGATAACTAGGGTAACCCAGTTGGAAGATATAAATCAGCGATCTAGTTTTCTTTCCCAAAACATAAAAATGAGTCAGTTGGGCCGGGGACATAGCTCAGCGGCACAAGCGCCTGCCTGGCAAGTGCAAGGTCCTGAGTTCGATTCCTGGTACCCCCCCCCAAAAAAATGAGTCAATTATTTTTACTTTAGTAATAATGAAATTAATTCTAAAGGTTCTAGATTAAAATTTGGGGGTAACTTTGTAGTCTGTCAATGATAACTCAAATTCACACAAAATCTAAGAAATCAAGAATGGCTATACTTATAGCTATAGTAAATATTTCTGAAACAAAAATTAAGATATACTATCTCAGGAAATCTGAAATATGTGGACACTATACTTGCAGAAATATTGAGATATTAAACTGTAGGCCTTACAAATCTTATAATAATGGACTATGAAACAAACGGATGGACATTATCCAAATTCTGGAAGTTTGTCTCTGTCCCTACTTATAGTGTATGGCTAATGCTACTGGAACCCACAGTAATGTGAAAACCCCAGCCTTCCGTACAACTGTAATTTATAATATAGACCCCATTACATGTTTCTTTTACAATGAGCTTACCAAGGCTCCATGGAGCAGACTCAGGTTGCGATTTATGCACACACGACATTTAATGAGTGTTTAATCCATTGGTTTTGGAATTCATAGAGATATTTTCTGAAAATTTACTCTTGAAGAAATGGAATGGCAGGTAAAAGCAGGTTCTATTTAGGAAAGACTTTAATGAATTAATGTTAATATATGAACAGATGACAGCTCAATTTTTCAACACCTAATTCCTGTCCATAATAGAAATAGTGGACTCAGTTCACTACCTAGTAATATAAGACAAATGGTCCTGCTAACCTCACAATAATTAATTCCTTCGTTCACACTGATATTTGACAAAGGTCTTGCCGGTGATAGAAAATGAAAGCATTTTCTTAACAACTTTTTCTCTTTCCTAGAAGGTGAAAAATAATCAAGCATCACAGAAATATTTTTATAAATTTCTGTAGTGTTCCATAGTTGACAAAGTGCTTTTAAAAACGACCGTAGCATTGCACATTTGCTTATAATACGAACAGAACGGTTTGTTTAGAAGTTTAAGACCATATTTTGAGCAGATACACTTTTGGTGGAGACAGAGTTGGTGCGACCCCTTCCCTGTAGTCACGAGGGCCCTCAGAGCTCGTGCACAACAGAAGTCACCTTGGCCCGCTCTGAGCAGCCGCACTCAGGGAGGCACCGCAGAGCCGCCTCCCAGCCCCGGGCTTACCTGGGGGCCCCGCCTCTCTCAATCTAGCAAACAGATGTCAATTTAAAAAGGCTGGATTTGGGGGGGGACCAGGAATTGAACTCAGGACACCTCACATTTGCCAGGCAGGTGCTGTACCACTGACCCAGCCCTGTCGATTTAAATAGGGAAATTACTTTCTTTATTGTTAAGAGAGGAAAACAATAAAAACAGTGATACAGAATGTCAAAACAAGATAGTAGGAAATTAACAATGGTTACTATATTGCAGATTGTCATCTTCAAAGTAGTTGCTCAGATTATAAGATATATTAATCCTTAACTACCTAAAATTAAAAATTGGCAAATAAGAAGCTAAAAGAAGAAAGTGTTAAATTTTTTCTTATTTAAAAAATAAGAAATCTTCGAATTAATGAGATTTGACAAGAATTTCTTATTTGGAATTTCCTACATCACAAAGAGAACCTGCACTCAGCTGGGGCTCGGTTCTTCATGAATGCTGAGATCTTTGAAGAGCTGTTACACCTCTCCTCCCTATTGCTTTTGTGGCTCCCACCAACCCCCCTCCTTTTTTCCCTCTCATTTTTTGGGGTGATAGGGATCGAACCCAGAGTCTTGGTCAATATAGGCAAGAGCTCTACCACTAAACTGTACCCCTACACACAAACCCCATTTTGGTCCTGGGTTCCTGAAATCTTTTTGCTTGCCTTCCATTAGCTTTCCTACAGCCCTGGGATTCACTTATTTATTTACTGTTACTTCAGGTTCAATAGCAACTATGGGCTCTGGCTTTAGTACTCTTTCCACTAGGGCTTTCTTCCATGTTTATCCCCTTCTGTATGCAAAAACATGCATACTCAAGCCGGAAGTGTGGCTCAGTGATGGAGCTTGTCTAGCATGCACAAGGCCTTGTGTTCGATTCCCAATACTGGGGAAAACAAACAAACACCAGCCTCAAGCCCCACGCACACTGTGTTTCACAGCAGCCAATCTCCTTTTCTCCCACTTAAATGAAATCTTTGATTCCTTTCTTGCCTTCTCACCTTTACCAGTTTGATTAAAACAGCGAGAATGGCCTGCCCACCTCTGGCCTATTTCTAAAAAGTCTTTTCATTCCTTTAACCTCTGGTCTTCAGGGAAGGTCTCTAGGGAACAGAGCCCTACCAATTCCCCTACACTTCATCTGCCACTGCCACTTTGCTTTACCACATCTTCTTTGTTTTGTCTTTTTTTTTTTTGGTTTTTCTCCGGTACCAGGAACCGAACTCACGACCTTGCGCTTGCCAGGCAGGCGCTTTGCCGCTGAGCTAAATCCCCAGCCCCTTTACCACATCTTCTAATGAATGCATTTGTCTGAACTCATCGTTGCTGGTTTTCCTTCAGATTGAAAGTCCTTCCGGGGAATGTGTCTCACACCATTTCTCTATCATTTCGGGCACAGCGCTTCCACACCCCTCAAGCTCTGACTCCGGCAACACAGCACACCCTAATTTATTAAATTACTAATGCCATTCACACCAAAATAGACCTCAGATAAAAGGAAAACGATCGCCATAGCAGTGAAGAGAAGGGCAGTGTGATAGTGTACAAAAGACGTCGCAGCTGCAACCACATTTTTAGATGATCTGCTACACAACTCTCCAAAACTGCTTCCTGGGAACTGGGATTTGCTCCTTGCCCCAGCCTCAGTTTCCCCAGAACTGATTTAAATGCTGGTCTTGTGTGACGCCATGGGGTACAGGAGACAAAACAAACAGGTCACTACCAGCACCAAAGAGAAGGAGCAAAGCTGAACACTTTTTTATTATTCCCTTAAAGAAAGTTCTACAATGCGCAGGAATTATACAACGGCAGATAAAGGTCATCTTCAATCTGCGAAGTGCTTTACCTTTAACAGTGCTTTCACAGGCAAACCTGTGAAGTACACAGGGTGGTTCTGCTCGTGGGAGGTTTGAGCTGCTTAGACTGCTCTTTCCTCTTCTGGCTCTCTTCAAACAATTTTTAAATATGTTATTTTTGTGTTGGTTTAGGAACAAGAATTGGGTTTTATAGAGGTTTGTCTGCTTATGTACATAACAAATGTAGATATAGCGCAGTGGCATAAGCGCCTGCCTGGCAAATGTGAGGTCGTGAGTTCGATTCCCAGTACCAAAAAAAAAAAAAAAAAAAAAAAAAACATTAAGGATATAGAGCTAGAAGAGCTACCAAATACTAATTCTCGGGGCTGGGGATTTAGCTCAGCGGCATAGCGCCTGCCTAGCAAGCACAAGGACAAGGTCATGAGTTTGATTCCCAGTACCAGAAAAAAACCAAATAAACAAACCAACATAATGAATGTAAAACAATGTTTAAAGACCAAGGTATGAAAGATGCTTCTTTTGACAAATAAGAATTGTATATATATATAGTGTAGAATATAATATTCTGATATACGTGCACATGTGCAATAATTACATCAACCTAATTAATAGATCTATTAGCTCACGTTTCTTTGTGATAAGAACGTTTAAGACCTACTCTTGGCAGTTTTCAAGTACATGTCGCATTATTCTTAGCTGTAGTCACTGCTGTACAACAGATCTCCGGGACTGATTCCTTCTAACTGCATTTGTACCCTTTAACCCCCCCACCCCCAAACCGGGTGGTTTGTTTCCCATTTAAATATCTAGTGGTGCCTCACAGCCTAACAGGTGCAAAGCCCTGGGTCCCGACCCCAGCACAGCCATCATCATCCTCATCTAACGATACTTCACAGGCAGCACCTCTCAGGATTTATGCTTGAATTCAAGTTACTTCCCACCAGGTTTTGCCAGTTCTCTGGCCAGTGCCCCCCGCTTCCGTAATCATAACTGGGGGATGAGCCCGCGCACGTGCTATTTCCAACAGCAGGATCTTATGAGCCCACAGCAGCGCCGGGCCGCGCCGCGTGACGGAGGCCGGGCAGCGCCCCAGGGCTTGGCAGCGAGGGTGGTAAACAGGAGCCCAACCCGGCTCGCGCGCAAACGCGGTGTCCGGAAGAGCCGGGGAGAAAGGTGGGGCCCGCAAAGCGCGCTCTGCGCCCGCGGCCGGCCGCCGGCCCCGCCTCCCGTCCCTTTCCCCGCTGCACCCTTTATCTTAACGCCGATGCCTCTAGCCCCTTAGAATCTCAGCTCAGTGAGCCGGGCGTGGTGGTGCACGCCTGTAATCCCAGCACTCCGGAGGCTGAGGCAGGAGGATCGTTGAGTTCGAGACCAGCCTGGGCTACAAAGTGAGCTCAAGGCCAGCCTGAACTGCATAGTGAGATCCTGGCTCAAAAAGAAAAAAAAAAAAAAAAAAAAAAAAAAAAATCTCAGTTTAGTGAGAACAGAGTCTTTATCTCCTTTCACCTCTGTGTCCACAGCACAGAATAGGGCCTGGTACCCAGAAGCTGACCCACAGATATTTTTTGGATGCGAAGTACGGATGGAAATAAGTGGCAAAATCCTTACTTGCTTAGTAAGTGCAAGGCCCTGGGTTTGACCCCCAGCACCCGCAAAAAAGTGTTAGAAAGCTAGGCTATCCGTACTAACACTTGGACTTTTTAAAGTACATGTTTTATAACAAGGAGTTGTAAACGAATGCTTAAAAGAGAAAGTTTTAAATTAATGCTCGGGATGCATGCATCTTCTTTCCTATTTTAGCTAATATGTATCAGTTTAACAATTTATACATGCATTTTCACCTCGAACTTTCTCAAATAGAATCACTATCCTCAAGATAACAAAGTTATCCTGTGCTGGAGGTGAGATTCAAACCCAAGTTTTCTGATCATAATCGGATGTTCTTTGATACATCTGGTATGAAAACAGGGAGTAATTCTAGTTATTTTGTCCTACCATAAATAAACATTCATTTGACAGTCACCTTAAAATTATGACTGCCTTTACCAGTTCATGGTTTTTCTCTTCACCTGTAAATTTCTTTTGTCCTACATTTCTGGTCCAACTTTACTCTGCAATTTAAACAAATTCAGCAGACACTTAGTGACTGCCCTCCACGCTGTGTGCAGAGATGATGGGGGGTGAAGCAGAGTGAGGGAGACAGGACAGCAAGGACACGTCTGACATGTCGGGCTCATGCCCAGGACAAGGGCAGGGAGCTCTGGGAGACACTGGGAAGGGACCTAACCCAGGCAAGGGGAGAAATCCCAGGGCACAACCAGCAACTGCAGACTGTGTAAGATTTGGCCCAGTAAGACAGCGAGAGGGGCAGGGACAGGAAGCCGCCCAAGGGAAGAGAACGCCTAGTTAGTGTCAGGGTTAGGGTTAGGGTTAGGGTTAGGGTTAGGGTTAGGGTTAGGGTTAGGGTTAGGGTTAGGGTTAGGGTTAGGGTTAGGGTTAGTCCCAGCATGAGCCTGGACCTTAACAGAATGCAAATATAGTGAACTACAAACTCTCAAGTTCATGTTGTCTTCAAAGTCTTTCCATGGATCGCATCACTCCAGTCGCTCTCCTTCTTATCTAGAAAACGGAGGCAATGGTTGTCAGCATATAAAAATGGGACTAAGAGCAACTACATCTTACTAAATGCCAAGCACTGAATCTATGAGACATCATTTCACCTCTGAGATAGCTACTGATGTTCATTTTGATTTACAGATGGGGCAGCTGAGATTCACATAAGTTATATTCTTTCAAGTTTGTGTTTTCAAGACCAGTTCCAACCCCAAAATGTTAGGTCATAAAAGATTAAAACACTTAAGCTATCCTATATTTTGAACACTTAAAATTTTATTATCATAATAACTTCTCAGAAAGGTAAGAACAGGCTGGCGATAGAGCTCAGCTGCTCAGCACCTGCCTGGCAAGCTTGAGGTCCTGAGTTCAATTTGTGGTCTGGGGGACAGGGCTCATAAACTTAAGAACAGACACACCTTGACACCTCAAATGGCTTCTTTAAAAAGATAGACTGCAGAATACAGTGATGAATTTTCTCTTTTCTGTTCCTAGTATAAACAAATTTTTGGAAAATTCTCTAACATCACCTTCACTGAAGTGGTGTATTGTTATTTGTTTGTTTTAGGCTGGGGATTGAACCCACGGCCTCACTCATGTTAAACAAATGTTCTACACTCAATTCTAAGTATTGTTTTATTTATAATATCAGCTGCATGCCCATTTTAGTCACAGGTCTTGGCTTTTTGGTTGGTTGTTATTGTTTATTCATTTATTTGTTTTTATTTAGAAACAGTCTTGCTAAGTTGCCCAGGCTGTTCTCCAACTTAGAATCCTCCTGTCTCAGCCTTCTGGATAGCTCGGATTCTAGACCTGAGCTTCTGTGCCCTGTCAATAGGCACTACTAAGAGGTGAAGCCAGAATTTGAAATCAGATCTATATAATTCCCAGGCCAGTGCTCATTCCACATTGCCTCAAGATATAAGCCATCATCAAATAACTGAAGACAATGCCACATTACAACAGAGTTTTCAGTAATGTGCAACTTACTGAAGGCCTTAATTTTTAAGGCAATTAATTTCCCCCCCATCTAAATTGATGGAGAAACTCAAATTAGGCTAGAGAAATGATTGATTTAAAAATGAGTCACTACAAAACGGTTTGTGAACTAATGATTATAACAAATTAGTGTATTAGTTACCCTTGTCAATAGTATTTTTGTTTTTTTGGGTTTTTTTGTTTGTTTGTTTGCTTGTTTTTTGAGACAAGGTTTCACTATTTAGTCCAGGCTGAGCCTCGAACTAACAGCAATCCTCTTGCCTCAGCCTCCCAAGTGCTAAGATTACAGGTGTGCACCACCACACCCAGCCCTTAAATAGCATCTTGGATCTTATTCCATGTATCTATTCTTCCATATAGTTGATGTCCAAATGAGAAAATGTTTTGATTGGGCTAGCAATTATAGTTTCATGTATGATTTTGTACACTGTTTGCCATTCTACAAGGTTTTAAACAGCCAGTGAGTATTAGTTAATGAGTATATAATTATCATAACTAGCTAATTTCTTATTATTGGACATGGTTCCAATTTTTTAACATTATAATCCATCCTATGAGAACATCTTTGTAGATAAAACTTTCCCCTCATGCAGCCCTGTGTGTTTTAAGTGAATCTGTTTTGAAGGCACAATAGACTCCACCCAAGTTAGTGGCTCCGGCACGGACAGTCTCAGGCCCTCACAAGCAGGTGGAAAAACATTTTACTGTAAGCGATCCTTTCAGCCATTGCTAATTGCCCCTTAAAGGGGACTGTCCACTACCAGTTGACAGGTTAGTTTGGGAGAGCTCTGTAGAAGTCTGAAGTTCCTAGGGAACCTTACATCTGATACAGGTTAGGCTGTCATGCAAGAGAACGGAGATCAACGCAGTGGGTCTTGCCACAGAATCATAAAGCAGGCAAAAGTTCTGATTCTTTCTCTGCCATCTTTCCTAGCACAGCAGCAAAGAATGGCAAACAGTCTCCATGTGCAAATCTCCGTTTGCATTTGAAAGCGCTTTGTAACCAAAAATGCCATTACAGATGTGATCACAAATAGGCTTAGCCTTTTTCTTCTGGTGCAGAGGACTGAAACCAGGGCCTCTTGCAAGCTAAGCAAGCTCTCTATCACTGAGCTACGCCCCTTTCGCAACAGTGTGCTCATAAATCACTACAGTTATACCATAGTTTCACAGCTGAGCTTGCATCTAAAGAATTTAATAAAATAGTAATTGCTATGGTTTTATTTTCAATTTCAGGGAAACTTCATTCAGTTATTATGTTACAACTGGAGAGCAATCTTGAAGTCTTTAAATTTTAAAAATATCAAAATGAGGCAATTTTGTATTTTGAGCTCTAAGTTATTAAGACTTTATCATGCCATAATTCATACAGCTGTATAGCCAGGCCTGGTGGCACACGCCTGTAATCCCAGGGTTTGGGAGGTTGAAGCGGGAGAACTGTTGCAAGCTCAAGGCCAGCCTGGGCTACATAACCAGACCCTGTCTCAAAACTTTTTAGAAAAAAATGTTGTCCATATAGATTTATTATTCCCCAGAAATAACCTAAGCTTTTATCATTACTCTGTTACAGCATGCAAGACGACAGCCTAGAAGCTTCCACCTCCATATCCCAACTGCTGCGGGAAAGCTACCTGGCGGAGACCAGGCACGGCGGGCAGGGCGAGCGCAGCCGCGCCGAGCCGTCCGCCTGCGCCCCGCTTCCCGGGGGGCCGCCCGGGGCTGCGGAGGGC